AAAGCTCTAAATCAATAAATCACGATGGATAGATGAATTAGGCATTACTTATGGGATTTTTGGATCAGTAGAACTCAAGATTCGAGCTCTAAAATTTTACCCTCGCGTTGCTCCCCTGAAGCTCTACTTCTCTCGGTCCGTAAAAGGAAGAAGAAGAATTGGATGGGAAAGGGGAAATGGACCGGCGGAATTATATATACCGGCCGCTAATTAATATATATAATATATATATATAATTAATACGTATACTTATCCGATCGATCGATAATCTGATTTTCGCCAAAATACTATCAAAACGCTCGATTTTAAATCGCGAACTTTCTAGCGATCGAAATATGGGTTTTGCCGGAATGGGATGTTACACTCAACACCTCGATCTCCCTGGAATACCAGCCTCTGGTTATACAAGGTCGCCACTGGGAAGGGCTCCTCTCTCCCAAAAATGGAGCACTGTGCCAAGTCCACATGGAAATGCCCCCCATGTGCATGGTGACCACCCTGTTCCGCCCTAGACACCGGGCGAAAGAGGTGGCAATCAGCAATCCCAGATGGATCGGCTCCGCTGGTCTCCTCCTAGAATAAAGAGCAAGTAGCCCTATGTTCGTCATCAGATGGCCTGACTGCATGTTGGGGACGACCGATCGGGTGATCAAGGTGTGGAGGATCCTCCAAGGGTTCCTCAGCTTCACCGCATTGGTGCGGCTCCCATCAAACTCCTCATGCTCATGCTCAGGGATGCTGCATGGTAGTGGAAGTCGATGGTGTACTGCCGCTCCATCATCGTCATATGTGTCGTGTCGAGCCCCATGGCCCGAGCAAAGGCATCATAGGTTAGCACTCGTGGCTAACCTCCCAACATAAACTCCACGTGCGGCCGACTCTTCTTGCTGGTCGGGACGACGTGGAAGAAGGTGGAGTAGAACTCCATGCAGATCTCGTGGTAGATATGCTCGTCCATCATCGGGAGCTGGCTCCACTGGGGGTGACAAACGACCCCGAACATCGCAGCTCGGCACCTGAACAGGTGGAACATGTCCAGGTCCAACCGCCAATGTGCCCAATCAGGCTGTCCCTCTGGTAGGCGAACTTGTCGGCATACCGTGGATGATGCACCAAGTAGTTGATGTACTCGTGCTCCGAGTTAAGCATTCTACAAAATTAACAAACACACACCATACGTGGAAATAATCGTCAATCACAACTCATTGGGAGGAAAATAAATTCCCCCCACACTTATATTTCCACTACGGATTGAAACATTTAAGCTCAAGCACACCGTGGCATGGTTGCGCGTATTTCACGGTTTATCAACACAAAAATTCGAACCCCAACCCATACCACGATGGCTACCATCCACCAAACAAGCATTCATGCACAAAATAATAATTGGTGTGCAAATTCTACAAATAAAAGCAATACAAATCAAACATGCCCACCAAGGATCAACTAGGCTCATGCAACATCATTTGACCATTCAATCAACCTAATTCACCTAATTCCTCACCCTAATTCTAGATTCAACATTTAAGGCACTAAAAATTATCCTCACTTCACTACCTAATCCGATTCTCCCAAAATAAACAAGGTAGAGCTGAAAAACCAACCTGGAGGCTCAAGTAGGACGTAGGAGGAAGTGAGGTGTGGGCGAGGAAGGCGAATGTCCAAAAAATAGACCGGAGAGTGGTCGCCGGAGCTTCGTCGGAAGCTCGTCGGATATACGCCGCCGACGACTTTGCCGGAGGAAAAATGCCCCAAATCTCCCCAAAATCCTAGCACAAGCCGGTTTTGATGAGGGGAGAATGGATATGCAGTTATTTTTGAGTTTTGCTCACCGAAAATGGGTGAAAAATTGAAAACCGTCGGATTTTTGCGGTTTTCCGGCAATAATTCGAATTTTCCGACGAGTTTTGGGGCTTGAAGTGTAGAGTCGCCGTTGACGCACCTTTTATAGGCGACGCACGGAGTTCACGGACGGGTTGGCTAGTTCACGGTCTTAGAGACCGTGAACACCCAAATCTATCCGTGAACTGGGGTTGGTCGACAGGTGGTGCACATGCAGAATTGTCGGGTTCACGAACGCGTTTGCCTGTTCACGATCTTATAAGACTATGAAGACAGCAATTCGTCCGTAAACTGCAGTGAAAACATGGCACTTCTGAAATTTTTTTGACTCGACCTATTCCACCGTGCCTCCCAACGATCACAACACAACCTTAAAACGCAAAACCACAAAACTTGGCACGGGGATACCACTCGACCACTTGAACTCTTCACTTGACACAAAAACAAAAATAAGGAAAAGAAAACAAACCTCCGTTCGGTTGCCTCCCAACAAGCGCTAAGTTATCGTCATTAGCTTGATGGTTGAGGATCAATCACGTCTTGGGACGTGAAGCCACCGAGAGTGGATCCACCACGCTCTCGGGTGAGGCATTTAGCCTCCTAACTTAAACTCCCTGAGGTGGCTATCTTGGTCGACCACCTTAGCTTTGCCCTTCTCCTTCTTTCAGGCAAAAGCTTGCTTCATATTTTCCTTCCAAGCTCTCTTCTTCCTTTCTTTGGGCTTAGTACCATCCTCAACTTCCTGCTTAACATCACCACAAGCAACACAAATAATAGTGGGGTTCACCTTGAGAGGCTCTCCTCCACTCACATCAAATCATTCGACACCAATTCCTTCACATCCTCTTCTAGCCTTAGGTTCAATTTCAAGAGTGATCCGCTCCTCACCATTCCTCATAATTAAGGTTCCCTCATTAACATCTATCAATGCCTTGGAGGTGGCGAGGAAGGGACGACCTATATTGCCGCACGTCTCACTTATGCCGAGAATCACGAAATTCATCGGATGACAAAAATTGCCTACTCGCACCAACATATCCTCCACAATGCCCCTAGGGCTAATGACCGAATTGTCGGCTAAAGTGATGCTAAGCTTAGTGGTATTGGGTTCACCTACTTCTAACTTTTTGAAAAGCTTATAGCGCATCACATTAACACTAGCTCCTAAATCAGCCAAGGCATTTTCTATATAATGGTTACCAATACTAAGAGGGAAAGTAAAGCTACCTGGGTCGGACCGCTTTTTGGGCAAGTGGTTGAGGAGGAAAGCCGGACACACCTCACCAAGAGTCACGTTGGCAAGGCCTTCAAACTTTGGTTGCTTGGTGAGGAATCCTTTGAGGTACTTTACATATCTTGGCATATGAGCCATGGCTTCAAGGAAAGGAATATTGACGTGGAGGTTTCGGAGCATTTCCATGAAACCTCCACCCTCCTTTTCCAACCTCTCTTTGTACATCCTTGTGGGGAAAGGAAGGGGTGGCTTGTACTCAACCACCGGAGATTGTGTCGGTGATGCCATCCTTGCCACTTCTTTCTCTCCCCTCGAAGGCATTTCATCTCCATCCTTCGGGTTGGAATCTTCCTTCTCAATCACTTCTTTGCCGAAAACTCTCGGAGTCACCTTCCCACTTCTCAATTGAATTTCATTCACCCCGGCATGGTCCTTGGGGTTTGCCACGGTTTGGGAAGGTAGAGCTCCCTTTGGTCTCTCGGTGAGGATCCCGGCAAGATTGCCGATTTGAACCTCCAAACTTTGAAGGCTCGCTTGAGGACTTCGGAATTCCGCCTCAACCGAGGTAAACTTGGTAGTCTCCACATCCATAAATTGCTCAATCTTCTCAAACTTTTAAGCACTCGTGCTCACGAAGGTGTTCCTTAGGTCTTCAAGCTTGGATAACTTGCCGGGTTGTTGTTGAAACTCTTGACCACCTTGTGCTTGGTATGGTAGTTGGAAGCTCGAGTTTTGGACTTGAGGCCTTTGTTGGATGAAAGTTGGCCGAGGTTGATAATTTCCCATGGGGAGTTGAAAACCCGAGGGTCTTGGATTAGTCGGGGATGACCAAGAAAAATTAGGATGATTCCTCCATCCGAGATTATAAGTATTGCTATACGGGTTATTAGCCCTAGCATTTGCCAAGAAATTGACTTGTTCCTCCGGAGTGTTTGCCTCCTTCATTGCTTGACACTCCTTCATCTCATGGCTAGTGCTTCAACAACAATCAAAAGACATCACTGCTCTCTGCCCTTACTTCTTATCCTCAAGAATTACCTCGATCAACTTGTCGAGCTTCGCTTCAAGTGGAGCGCTTGCTCCCACACTTATCACTCCTCTATCATTGCTTCCCTTCCCACTTCTCGTCAAGCCCCAATCGTATCCTTTGAGAGCCATATCTTGAGATGGTGTCATATTCATCAATTTCCCTTGGCAAAGAGAGTTATTTAGAATCTTGTCTTTCTGTATACGTCCACCATAGAAAGTTTTAATCCGAAATTGCTCAACGAATCCATGGTGTGGGCATTGAAGGAAGTAATCGGAGAATCTTTCCCAAGCATCTCTCAAGGTCTCATCTTCCTCTTGCTCGAAATGGGTGATTTTCTTTCTCCACTCGTCCGTCTTCGAAGGCGGGCAATAGCGGGTCATGAATTTGTTGAGAAGATCATCCCACGAGGTGATTGAACGAGACAATCGGTTGTTGAGCCATCAGAGTGCCCTCCTCGAAAGTGAGTAGGGGAAAAACCTCAGTTGCAAAGCATCCGTCGGCATGCCATTGATCTTCAAAATCCCCGCGAGCTCAAGAAATCTTTGCACATGTTCGCACTATTAGTAATGTTGGATATTAAAACGGAACCATGTTGCTAATAAAGTTGAGTGAAAACAAGGTCGGAAGACTAACAACGTCGTCGCGGATCACACCACCTTGTTTGGCGAGGTTTCTTTGATCTGTTTCTTATTTTCCTTTATAAGAGAGTGCATTAAACACACACGTTACATTTACATAGTTTCTTTTTTATAACTTTTACTGGAAATTTTGGCCCGATGAAAACAAGATTTTGACGGCAAATTTTTACTTACTTCTTCACATGAACCAGATGAAAATAAGCAAGCTTGCTATTAAACATTGATCGAAAAGAGTAAAACTAGAATCTGCTTGACAATGCCTGTACGACCTCACGACGGAGGCAGGGGCGAGAGGGAAAGAGAGGTTCATCAGCTGGAATTTCGCCTCCTTCACCCTCTCTGCCACTGCGTCGCTCATAGTCATACCCATCGTTTAGGAAATCACAAACAACTGGGTGGTGGGCTTCCTGATTCCGACTTGCTTTATGCTGCTCTCATACATCCTCTTCTTCGACAGATCGCTGCTCTACGTCAAGTCCAAGCCGGAGGGGAGCCGGAAAGTGCCAGCTTCAGGAACCGGAAAGTGCCGCTTCCTTCTGACCCCAATCAGCTCTTCAGCTGCCCTTCTGATGTCCAGCGCGCCGCCATCGTTTGTAGGACGAACCACCTAAGGTAATGCTCGCTCGGTGCTCTCTTCTCTTTTGTGCATGAACACAACAACTATTAAATATCTTTTATTATGGAAATCTAAGTGCCGCTTTATTGATTAATTGGTACCATTACATTGTCCAAACTCAATTCACCAGGCAATATCATAGGAGGCCTGTGGAACCAGACCTCCGCTACAATCCATTCCATCTCATCATGAGCCATGAGATGAGCCGGTTTATTCGCCTCCCTGCATGCATTTTGGTATCTTCCTCCTCCAGTCTCGTTAAGAAGTCGTCGGATACTTCTGCATATGATTCCCACCTCTGTATGAACCCTATCAGCCTCTCGCATTGAGTGGATAATTGTTTGACAATCCATCTCAAGAATCGATCGCCCAAGATGATGTTGATGCGTTAATTGCAATCCAAATTCCCCCGCAAGGGCTTCCCCCATCTCTGAATAGTAGGTACATGAGAACTTCTTTGCTGCTGCTAGAAGGAGTTTTCCTGCGGCATTCCGTACTACAACACCAAAGCAGATGCCTCCTTCAATTACTCCCACATCAGTATTAACTCTTATCTACCCCTCATCTGGCCTCTTCCATTTTACTTCACGATTTTGTTCTTCTATCAACTGGCCTCGGGTTTGATGTAGGTGGTATTTGTCCAACCAGCTTATCGATCTAGGCACAATCTCCTCCTCTTCCATCTTTACGCCATTAAATGATTGAGCATGCCTTTCCTTCCATAGCATCCATAAGAGCACACACCAATCCTCCACCTCCCGATCGGCTACTGTGGTTGATACCCTCTAAAACCACTCCATAAACCTCGATGTTCCATGTAATTCAAAACAATGGGAAACCTGGGAAGCACGCCATAGACAACTGGATCACGCACACTCAGAGAACAAGTGAACCTGTGTCTCTCGGAGATCACACAAAGTGCATGCATGCCCCCTCCTCTTGCTTTTCACGATCACATGCTCTCCCATTGCCAAGTGATAGCATCGTATTTGCACATGTTTGCACCCTTGTTTCCTGACCATTTTAGCTCTAATTTGTGGTTGCTTGGCCTATTTTACACTAGGTTGTGTTGTTTTGTCGTGTTTCAGGTCCTAGCATATAAATTGAAGCAAAGGCGCAAGTTTCAAGTCAATCGGAATTCATTTGGCAATTTGGGAGAAGAAACACGAGCATGACCTGAGGAAGAATGGACTTATACCTCATATTATGGACAAATAATCATGTAATCTTGTCATGAAAAGAAATAGGACGAGACTACGAGCGTCTGGGATCAAACGGCGACTGATTCGGAGTCCGGACGAGGGAGAAACGAAGCATTAACCAGGAGCGGAGGAAGAAATACGGGCACCCCCTGCCCAATTACGAGCGTAATTGCCTCTGCCCTACCCGTAAATGCAATGCCGAGGCAAATCCCTGAGAATGCCTTCGAAGATCAAATTACGGGCAAGAGCAAAATGAACTACAGTCGTAATTCCCCAAATACTGGCAGTTATTGGGTAATTACGACCGTAATTCCCCTCATCACAGTTAAGTGAAACGCGCGTTTTGGGTGAAATACGGGCAGACCATGTTTACGACCGTAATTCAGCCCGTATTTCGCCCAGAATCGGGTTTTTGAGGCAGATTCAAGCCAAAGGGGAGGGGGTCGACTTTTTGGAGCAAAAACAGAGTTTTAGAGAGAGAAAGTGCGAAGAACAAACTCTAGGAGCTATTTGGAGTGGATTTCTCACCATTGAAGCCCAGATTGCATCTCCAGGAGTGAAGATCATCAACCCGGGACAGATATCCTCATCTTTATGAGTATGACTACTCTGATTACTGGTTTCCTCTCTCTCTATGGAGTAGAACTTTCTCTCACTTGGGTATGAAGAACCCTAGTTCCATGTGTTAGGAATCTTGATTGTAATGACTTGGGATTGTTATACTGTTTGATTTTAATCGATTGATGCATGATTCATTGAGTCAATTGAAGTCTGATCATCTTTTCTTGACTTCTGTTGCAACCTGAGATAGATAGAATCTGATTAGGTTGTTAGAGCCTCATCAATCGGTAGTGGTAGATTGATTATACGAGAGTTAATCGATTTACAGTAGTGGAGTTCTGTGTTCATAGCCTCAGCTTTCTATCCCGGTGAAGACTAGTCGTTTGTCGGGTAGTTGGACTGAGAGGGCTTGGTCAGTTTTAGAGATTCCAAGCTACTGTCGGATCTTCCACAGTTTAATCAACAGTTAATCAACCTAGGGTAATTACAACTGTGACCTAACTAAGGAGCTAGGGGGACTCATTCCCGAGTGACTCTTCCCTTGCTAAAGAACTTTGAACCATTTCCTTTGCTAGACCCCGGGTTGATAAATAGAACTTGCCACGATTTTGCATTTTCTGACTACGATTACACTTGGTCGCTACGACTGGAATAGTGATATCAAGGACTGCGGGTGCTGGTAGAGACTCCATAACTGGGAAGCAAAGAGGGTGTTAATGTGACTCGAATCGTACTATCAGTCGCTACGACTGGAATAGTGGGGGTCTCGCTGACCGTTCAGTGAGTTCGTCTAGGGGCAACGCCCCGGTGGGGGTGTGGGGGCAATGACCCTGGCCTGTGGTGTATGGGCTCAATGTTATTTGCGTTCGGGTTCTGGACCTGGTCTGTAACTGTTTCCTTTGCCAGATTAGATTAGGTTTAGACCCACAAGGAGAAGTATAAATACTTCTCATCTCCTCTGTAATTTGTAATCTCCTCGATATAGTAAAACTGGCTCTCTCTCGCCCGTGAACTAGCTAACACACATCGTTTTAGTAAACCACATAAATCGTGTGTCGTGTTTTTGATTCTCGCTTTCGTATTTTTGCTTTCTCGATTCCGGCGATTTTCGAATCCGTAGTAGCGCGTTTATAACAAGTGGTATCAGAGTCACGGCTGGAAATTAGGCTAGGGTTTCGATTCTGAAGAATGACGTAGGTGAACATGAAGATCGAGAAGTTCACGGGGAAGAACAGCTTTGCTATATGGCAGATCGAGATGCAAGCTTTATTGAAACAACAAAGGCTGTGGGAGCCGCTGTCTGCGAAACAGAAGAAAGTGGCGGTCGATAACAATGAGTGGAATACCCTGGAGGAGAAGGCCCACTCGACCATCATGCTATTGTTGTCTGATGACATCATCATCGAAGTCGCTGCTAAGAAGATTGTCGTGGGCTTGTGGTTGAAACTAGAGAGTCTATACATGACTAAGTCTCTAACCAACAAGCTGCATCTCAAGCAATGGTTGTTCAGCTTCAGGATGCAAGAAGGTACGCATTTGAGGGAACATCTGGAGCAACTTAACTTTATTTTGTTAGATTTACGCAATATAGATGTGAAAGTTGATGATGAAGATATTTCGCTAATCCTGCTTGTGTCTTTGCCGAGTTCATATGAGAATTTTGTGGATTCTTTTATTGATGGTAAAGATAGCTTGTTGTTGGAGGATGTCAGATCTGCTCTTCATACAAGAGAGATCAGGCATAAGGCATTCGGTTCTGGTACAGGTGGTGAGGCATCGGGTTTGACTGTCACATGTGGAAAGAGAGAAGAAATCTGATAAAGGGAATTCGAACAGGAATTCCAAGGGTCCCGGTCCACAGCAGGTGATGCTTGTCACAATTGTAAGGAAGTGGGGCAATGGAAGTACAACTGTCTCAGAAGAACCAAGGTTTAGTTGTCGTGGCAGAAGTGGACAACAGTTCTGAAGACAATCTCGCCTTGGCTGTAGATGAGAAGGCACATCGTGGTGATGTGTGGTTTTTGGATACTGTAGCCTCATACCATATGTCTCCGAACAGGGATTGCTTCACAACCTACGAGCAGATAGATGGTGGTGAAGTGGTCATGGCAAATGGAGCTATCTGCAAGGTTGTTGGAATCGGGTCCATAAAGGTTCGGACACATGATGATTCGTTCAGTACCGTGAATGATGTCAGACATTTTCCACAATGATAAAGAACCTGATCTCCTTGAGTCTACTCGACATCAAAGGCCTCAGTTTCAAAGGAAAATGTGTAATTGTGTATGTCTGCAGGGGTTCGAGGAAGGTAGTGAAAGGCGTGCAATGTGGTACCTTGTATACAGTACAAGGATATGTGTTGTCAGGTTCTGCTGCAGTTGCATCATCTCAGGTTCATCAGGAAGATATGACCACTCTCTGGCACGTGAGACTGGGTCAAATGAGTGAACGGGGATGCAAGTTATGTCAAAGAGGGATCTTCCTTGCAGGCACAAGGTGCAGAATTTGGAATTCTGTGTGCATTGTGTGTTTGGGAAGCTACATTGCCACAAGTTTCCCAAGAAGGGTATCCACCGGACGAAGGGGATACTAGATTACCTCCACTCCAACTATTGGGGTCCTTCACGAGTTGAATCCATTAGAGTCGCATGTATTTTCTGTCTATTATCTATGATTATTCAAGATTTACATGGATTTCATGATGAAGTAGAAAAGTGAGGCTTTAACGTAGTTTTAAGAAGCAGAAGACATTGGTGGAGAATCAGACCGGGAAGAAGATCAAGAAGCTGCAAACGAACAATGGTATGGAGTTATGTAATTCTGATTTCAACGAATTTTGCAAGGATGAAGGGATTTCCCGTCATCGGACCGTTAGAGATACACCCCAGCAGATGGCGTTGCAGAAAGGATGAACCAGACGTTGTTGGAGAGAGCACGGTGCATGCTCTCTAATGTTGGACTAGAGAGACGATTCTGGGCAGAAGCAATAAGCATGGCGTGCTTCCTGATCAACTGTGGACCTCACACAGGTATCGAGTATAAGACTCTTGAAGTGTGGTATGGTAAGCCTGCTGATTACTCTTCAGTGAAAGATTTTTGGGTGTCCTGTTCATTATCATGTGGATGACGGTAAACTGAATCCAAGGGCAAAGAAGGGTATATTTGTGGGTTAGGGAGATGAATTTAAGGGATTTCGAGTCTGGTCACCTTCTGAGCATCGAGTTATACTCAGTAGAAATGTGATATTTGATGAGAAGTCTATGTTTAACCCCATGTTGAAGGTTACTTTTGTTGAAGGTAGCAGAAATGTTGATAAGCAGGTGGAGCTGCAAACTCTCAATGAGAGTGATTTTGAGCACCAAGGTGGAGAAGATCAATGTGAGGATGTTTCTGAAGAACCAGAAATATCAGAGTCTAGTGCAGGAGCTCAACAGTCTAGAGCTTTAGGTAGATAGAAGAGAGCGACTGCAGGAGTACCTCCACAGAGGTATGGCTTTGAGGACATGGTGGCGTATTCATTTCAGATTGTTGAAGAAGTGGATGCAGGTGAACCACATTCCTATAGAGAAGTTGTTTCGGGTGGTGAAGTTGATCAGTAGCTTGCCGCAATGGGAGATGAGATGGAATCCCATGACAAGAATCAGACTTGGGAGCTAGTCAAACGACCACAGGGAAGGAAGATTGTTACAAACAAGTGGATCTACAAGAAGAAGGAATGAATCACTTTTGAAGAGGGCATGAAATTTAAAGCTCGGGTGGTTGCACGAGGCTTCTCGTAGAGGGAAGGAGTTGATTACAATGAGATTTTATCGCCAGTGGTCAGACATACTTTGATTAGGGTGCTACTAGCAATAGTGGCGCATTATGACTTGGAGCTCGAGGAGCTGGACGTGAAGACAACTTTCCTATATGGAGAGTTGGAGGAAGAAATTTACATGACTCAGCCAGAAGGATTTCAGGTTCCAAGAAAAGAAGACTATGTTTATAATCTAAAGAAGTCCTTGTATGGACTTAAGCAGTCTCCGAGGCAGTGGTACAAGAGATTTGACAGGTACGTGCTTGATCTGGGCTACAACAGAAGTCCATATGATTGTTGTGTGTATCACAGCAAGGTGGAGGATTGTTCGATGATCTATCTTGTTCTGTATGTGGATGATATGCTCATAGCTGCGAGGTTGAAGTCTGATATCCAGAAGTTAAATGGGCTTCTCAGTCCTGAGTTTGAGATGAAGGATTTGGGAGCTGTTCAAAAGATCATGGGTATGGAGATTTATAGGGATAGGTCGAAGATGAAGCTTTTCTGTCACGAAAGTGCTACATCCAGAAGATACTGTCGAGGTTTGGCATGTCTTCAACAAAGCCCTTAAATACTCCTAGTGCTTCAAATGTTCATCTATCCTCAGCTTATACACCGCAGTCAAAGGCTAAGAAGGATTACATGTCGAGAGTCCCATATGCTAGTGCAATAGGTAGCTTGATGTATGTTATGGTATGCACTAGACCTGATCTTACACATGTTGTTAGTGTTGTCAGTAAGTTCATGATACAACCTAGGAAGGAGCATTGACAGGCTGTGAAGAGGATCTTCCGGTACATTAAGGGTACACCTAATGTTGGGATTAGCTTTGGAAGTGATCCAGAGTGCTTGGTGTCTTGGTATTCTGATTCGGACTATGCTGGAGATGTTGACGTGAGGAGATCGATGACCGGTTATGTATTCACTCTTGGGAGTTCTATAATGAGCTGGAGGGCAACTCTACAGTCAGCGGTGACATTGTCTACTATTGAGGCAGAGTATATGGCATTGATAGAAGCAGCTAAGGAGGGAATATGGTTGAAGGGACTGGTTGGTGATCTGGGTATAAATCATGATCAGGCAGTGGTGTATTGCGATAGTTTGAGTGCAATATGCTTAGCCAAGGATCAAGTCCACCATGAGAGGACTAAGCACATTGATGTGAGGTATCATTTCTTGAGGACAAAGAAGAGGATTAAGGTGAAGAAGGTTGGCACCGCGGATAATCATGTTGTCATGTTCACGAAGCCAGTTCCACATGGAAAGTTCCAACACTGCTTGGACTTGCTGAATGTCTTGAGTGGGTGACTCCGCCCTACGGCGCATTGATGGCGAGAGAGAAAGACGGAGCAGAGTACATAAAAGATTTCAGAGGAAGAGGATTTAAGTCAAGGTGGAGATTTGTTGATGTGACTTGAATCAGACTATCAGCCGCTACGACTGGAATAGTCGGGATTCTCACTGCCCAGTCAGCGAGTGGGGTCCAGTGGAAACGCCCCGGTGGGAGTGCGTGGGAAATGCCAGATTGGATTAGGTTTAGACCCACATGGAGAACTATAAATACTTCTCATCTCCTCTGTAATTTGTAATCTCCTCGATATAGTTAATCTGGCTCTCTCTCGCCCGTGGACTAGCTAACACACATCATGTTAGTGAACCACGTAAATCGTGTGTCGTGTTTTTGATTCTCGCTTTCATATTCTTGTTTTCTCGATTCCGGCAATTTCCCGATCCATAGTAGCGCGTTTATAACAGAGGGCTATGTTGAACTCGCGCAGATCATAGAAACCTATGCCGCCATGCTTCTTTAATCCAATCAACATTTCCCTGACCACCCACGGAATTCTCTACTCTTCTCCCTTCTGGCCCCACCAAAACCTCATTATCAGTTTGTGAATATCATTAATAATCCCTTTTGGAACCTTGAAAACAGACATCGTGTATGTTAGTTGAGCCTGGGCGACTGATTTGATTAGCACTTCCCTAGCTGCCACCGACATAACTCTTTCCTTCCCGCCTGATAGTTTCTTCCTGACCCGCTCCCTCAAGTACGTGAAGAAGTCCTTTTTTGACCTTCCAACCTCAGTGACCAGTCCAAGGTATTTATTATGCTTCTCCACTGCTCGCATACTCAGTACTGAGCTCACCTGCAGCCATTGATATGGCTTAACACTCGAACAAAAAAAAAAACCCCTCTGATTTCTCCAAGTTAACGAGCTGGCCTTACTCCTTCTCATTGTCAGGTAGAATCTTACGCAACTCCAAGCTCTCTTGTACTGTAGCTCTAGCAAAAAGATAGAATCGTAAGCAAAAAAGAGTGTGAGATCACCGGAGCACCTCGAGCAACATACAACCCATGAATTCTCTTCTCCTGCACTGCTTTTGAGGTATACGACGATAGGCCCTTCGACACTAGCAAGAAAATATACGTGGACAGGGGGTCTCCCTATCTGAGGCCTCGGGATGGTTGGATCACCCCTGATCGGTGTCCATTCACCAGCACCGCTTATGTCACCGACTGTACACGCATCATCACTAGTCGTATCCACATTTTCTGCAAAACCCATCTTCCTCATTATTTATTCCAAGAACCACCATTCAACCCGATCATATGCCTTAGCAATGTTCTTCTTTAATTTGATTTAATCTTCATCGTATGGATGCACTCAAAAGCTGCCATTACATTATCTGCAATGACTCTCCCCGGGACAAAAAAAAAACTTTGCTCTGGTGAAGTAATCAAGTCTAGCATACCTTTCAGCATATTGGCAATGGCCTTTGCAAGTCTTTTATATATCACATTATAGAGACTGATTAGCCGGAATTCCTTAGGCGTGGCGGGATCTTTAACCTTAGGAATGAGAGCAATCAAAGTTAAATTAAGCTCCGCTGGCATCTCCTCTGTCTCTAATATCTGTGTCAAAGCCGCCATTACATCATCCCCAATTACATTCCAAAACCGTATGAAAAACAACACCGAGAGGCCGTCAGCCCCCGGGGCCTTCCTTTTTCCCATTTTCCGGAGCACCGCGTAGAGCTCCTCCCTTTCATATGGTCGGGTAAGTGATGCATTTGCCTCCGGTGACACCCTCTAACCAACCAAATTAAGTACAGAAATGAAGGTGGGCCGCTCCCCAGCTTTAAACAGGCGATTATAGTACTCCCACAAGCAAGAAGTTACCCTATCCTGACCATTCCACCACTGTCCCGCCTCATCACGCATCCTTTTAATTGTGTTGCGCTTTCTTCTCGCCGATGCTTTTTTATGGAACTAATTTGTGTTTTTGTCTCCCTCCCTAAGCCAGTCCGCACGTGACCTCTGCTTCCAAAAGGTCTCTTCATCACATTCAATCTCATCTAACTCCCTAAGAAGATCAGAGCGTTGTTGTACCACAATCGGAGTTTTCTCCCAATGGTCCATAGCTTTTAAGGCTTTTCGTATCTTCTCCTTCTGTTTTCAGAAATCAGGTAGAGCTGTCGTACTCCATTGAGTCAATCTCGCACCAACCTGCTCAAACTTGCTGAAAATGTTATTGCTCAGACCCGAATTCCACTCCTCTTCAACAATTCGCGAGCAGTCCTCATGATTGATCCAATGAGGATCAAAAGGAAAAGACCACCCCCATTTTATTTCTTCATCTTCCTCACCCGTTATGTCACATTATATGGGTCTATGGTCCGAGCGGGTGCTATCCAGGTGAACAACACAACCGTCATTCTACTTTGCTCGCCATTCATCATTCGCTAGGAAACGATCCAATCTTTCCTCAATATAACCCTTAACTCGGCGCCTGTAATCCCACGTGAGGGGTAGCTGGTGAAACCCATGTTTCTCAATCCTGTATCCGCCATACAATCTGAAAAAGCTTGCATGTCCACTTCAACCGCCATATTACCTCCTTTCTTCTCCTCATCAGATAAAAACTGGTTGAAATCACCCCCACACAACCATGGTCCCTTCCATTGTGATGCCAGGTGTCTCATCATCTCCCAGGTTTGTTCCTTATCCCTCCCCTCTGGCCATCTGTAAATACCACTAAAACTCCGAGTACCCATTGCCTCATTTTCGATCTTCATATCCATATGATGTAGAGAGCTTGACATCACAGTAGCCTCAACCTCATCTGTCCACCACATACTTAAGCCCCCTGCTTTCCCTCCATTGGAGGAGTCTACAGGGAAACTACTGCCGTTCTTGTAACCCAGATCCATCCTTGTTATTTCATTTTATTGAGATAGTTGTCATGTCTCCATTAGAAACACAACTTGTGGGGAAGTCTGTCGCAACAGCGACCTCAAAGATCTAACTACACGTGTGCTTCTCAGTACATGGCAGTTATAACTGAGCATTCTTATTTATGTTCCGAAGGGGATATGTTCCCCGCACCTTCAGCATTAACCATTTGCATTATTTCGGATACTTCTTTTTGCATCTTCCTTCCTCCCTCTAGTGGCTTGCCAGTCTTTCTGCCTTGATCGCCCTTTCCCTTCACCTTATTATGCACACAACTATGTTTTTGTTTACCTAGACCCCCTCTCTGTACCACCCCTTCATGAGGAAACCGTTCCTCCGGCCCTCCTATATGGGTAAGAGAGCTAGACCCACTGATAATTGTCGAAAACATATTGATATTATGTGCTTAATGTGATTATTTCATGACATGTTTGAGACATATATTGCTTGTTTTAAGTCCAGCTGACTCCGGAATGGTTATATGATCATTACCACCATGTATTAGAATGTTAATATATTTTAGGTGGAAAGATAGAAATTGTGGAAGTAAAAGCAGACAGATAAGTCGAACACAAATCAAGTCTATCACCAAATCAATTTGGACCGGGTTCTTGAGCTAGCCCAGTTGGAGTGCATTATTTTCCAATTTGGACCAGGACTTTGGTAGATTTATTGGGCCAGACCAATTAAAAGAAAGGCAGTTGGGGGAGCAATTAATGGAAGAGGGGCATTTTATTTGGCCCAGGCCCGTCCGTGGTGATTGAGGGGGAATTAAATGGCGGCGGAAACAAAAGCTGGAACAGAATTAGAGAGGAAAAGAAGAAGTCGGCTGAGAAGGATTTTTTGGGACAGAACTAATTTTAGAGGGGGAATAATTGGAGTTGGCGGTGGAATTCTTGGACATTGGGGAATTGCAAAAAGGCACGGAACTAAATTCTCCAGGGGGAATTCTTTTTGAAAAAAAGAGAGAGGCAGCAGGGCAGCGCAGGTTATTTTTGGGGACGGGATTCTTTTGGCGAAGGGAAGGCAACAGGCGCAGCGCAAGTGATTGGGGGCGGCTATTTGGCGACAACAGCTCGACGATCGACTTCTCCAAAGAGGCTTGAGCTGAGTTCAACGAGAGCGATTATTTAGTTGGATTTTCTGAACCAAATTAGTTGTTTATTGTTGATTTAGAATATGATGATCAAAACTTTAACGATTTATCTCAGTTTCATCATGAACTAAACCCCGATTTCTGGGGGAAACACCATAGGATGTAGCTATTTCTTGATTTGATTGATTGATTCATATTTGTCTTCTTCCAATCTCTATTGCATGAAATTGCTAAATGCTTTGTGTTTACTGGCCATCAATACATTGATTTGTAGTTAATTAGGTTATTAGCGACAGTGAAACCCTAATAACTGAACATATTTCATGTGACATAGTAACTTATTGAAGCGACATTGGATTAAATAAGGTGTTATGCGGTCTTAAATAGGATATCGATCTTCATGCTAAATATTTAAGTCATTGAGCTACGACAGTAGGATTTGAATTAATTGTTTAGTACGTAGTAATTCCTCACAGTAGGGGTGGGCATACGGTTCGGTAAAACCGAGCCGAACCGAACCGAATATAAACCGAACCGAAACCGAATTAATGTTATTCGGTTCGGAATTCGGAAGAGAAAAGGGCATATTTCGGAAACCAGGGTCCTTTTGACCGAACCGAATTTCCGAATTCCGAACCGAAAAACCGAATTATTATAATTGCAAGCTCTAAATGGTGGATTTTTATGTTTCTACTTATTATGGGACTTAAATATTTGAATCATGTTAGTGTTTTATGACTTATGTGTTGAAATGTTTGATTTTATCATTGATGATACATATTTATTGTTTACATTAGGGTGAAAAATAATTTAAAAAAGAGAAAATACAAGCTAACCTCACTATTTCGGTTTTGTATGAAAAACCGAACCGAACCGAATTCGAATTCGGTTTGAGGTTTGATAGAATTCGGGGACTCGGTATGCATAATTTCGGTTCGGTTTGAACCGAACCGACCGAATGCCCACCCCTACCTGACAGGGATAGCTAGCACATTCGTGATATCCTGGTTGTAGAGAGTTGGATTAAACTGATTAGAATATGTGAATTAATTTTGATATGATAGGTAGTGAGTCCCGCTGTTTCTCCCAGAGCTTTCTCCATTGAATTTCTCCCGACAGTTTTCATTTGCTTAATTTGTATAGTTAATTTTAGGGATGGCAATGGGTCGGGTCGGGTCGGGGGCGGATAGTGCATATCCGTTACCCGACCCAATGTAGTTCGGGTTTTACCCATACCCGTACCCACACGAGAAACGGGTAGAAAATCAAAACCATGCCCATACCCGTTCGGGTTTCGGGTATCCACGGTTATCCATGGGTAATAATTTCTCCTTATAATTCCAACCAATATGTTAACATTCACACGTATACTCACATTACGTAAGAGAAAAAGTACGACAATAATTCACTAGAATGACGAAAATTAATTAAAACAACATAATTTCATGAAAATATTATATTTATATGCTAAATATAAAATATTCTAGAGAAACATAATGATTATTTCTAGACAAAATACATATGCATGTGTATAATCGGGCGGGTTCGGGTTGGATAGTGAGATAACCATGCCCACCCATTACCCGCAATATTTGGGTTCGGGTTTTACCCGTACCCACGAAAAATGCTTCGGGTTCGGGTTTTACCCTACCCGATTAGGTCGGATTCGGGTGGATATCCATGGTTACGGATATTTTTGCCATCCCTAGTTAATTTTGATTTTAGAAATTAGTCTCATTAAACTATTTTCACTTATAGTTTGCTCATAGAATTGATATCTTATAAGGTTGTACCAGTCCCTTAGAGACGATACCCGGACTTTCCGGTTTTACTACGAGATAGGAATTGAAGCATTGCGCTTTTGCCCTATCAAGTTTTTGGCGCCGTTGCCGGGGACTGCCATACCTTGTTTTTATTAACTTTAGTGAGTGAACTATTTTAATCTGTGTGCTAGTGTGCATGTGAATTTCAGGTTTATCCTCCTTGTGCATGCCTAGGAGGACGACCGCCGATTTACTGCCACTAGATCCGGAGATCGAGAAGACCTGCCGACAGAAGAGGAAGCATGTCAAATTAGGGAAGCAGCCAACCACAACTCCTAGGCCTTCCCTAACCCATAATCGTCAACAGAGAGGGCAGGCTTCATCACCTCTCAATCCTACACCACCGACACCACCACCGCGCAACATCGAGCTTGTCACCATGGCAGACCAGGATCGTTCGATCAGGGCTCGCTTGAATCGAAGGACTGGAGCCCAAGCTTCATGTATTATCATTCCGGCTGGGGATGCAACCATGGAGATTACCCCTGTATTCATCAACATGATTACCAACGGGTATACTTTCTCCGGGGCTAGCAATGAGGATCCTCATGAACATCTCCACCGGTTCGCGAGCATATGCGATACCATGAAAAGCCCCACAGTATCTGATGATGCAATCCGTCTATAGATGTTCGCATTCTCCCTAATAGGGAATGCATCACACTGGTTTCAGAACTTAACACCACGTTCCATCACGACATGGGCTCAGCTTGAGAAGGTCTTTCTGGATAAGTACTTCCCACCTGCCTTAGCAATGAAGAGGCAAGAAGAGATTGTTACTTTTCAGCAGGCTGATGATGAGAGTCTAACTGAGGCATGATAGCGCTACAAGGGGTTGTTGATGAGATGCCCAAGTCATGGTCTTGAGGATTGGAACGTGATCATTATCTTCTTCAATGGAATCAGAAGGGAGTTCCAGGATGCTCTGAATAATGCTTCGTGGAATGGTTTCACAAGCATGGAGGCACCAGCAGCATATGATCTAGTAGAGAAGATCTGTTCAGAAGCTACTGAATGGGGTAGCGAGACCAATATTCGAAGAAGAGGCGGCATGCATGAAGTAGACAGCTACAAACCTAGAAGCCAAGATAGATTCCAAGTTAGATTCTAAGTTCAATGCACTCGAACGAAGGCTGGCCAAGATTGCTCTAGGTAGACAAGAAGAGGTTGCTTCATGTAAACTTTGCGAGGGTCCTCATCATAGGGATATGTGTCCACTGGGAGCTGCTCAGTTGGAAGATGTCTAATATATCAATAATCCGCGAAGTCAAGGCCAGGTGGTATGTATTCAAATGCATATAACCCTCAATGGAGACATCACCCCAACATGTCATGGTCTAATAATAACCCAATTGGTGTTCGAAACATCCCACCTCCCGGTTTCCAGCAACAGCAACCTCAACCAGAGAAGAAGCCCCAGTTAGAGGAGTTGATTTTGGATCATATGCAGAAAACAGACAATAATTTCAAGGGTCTTGATCAATTTGTCACTCAACAGCTAGCCATCAACAATAATATGCAATCATCTATGCTAGCTATGGAGAGGCAAATAGGCTAGATGGCTCAAACTTTGACAGATATTCAAGGTAGGATTCCTAGGACTTTACCAGCAAATACTGAGAGGAATCCGAAGGACACCATGGTTGTAGCCGTCACATTGAAGAGTGGGAAGGAGTTGGAGGATCCAAAGAGCAAGAAAAATCCAGTAGAAAATGAGGGCAAAGCAGTTGCAGAGGAAGAAAGTGCAAAAGCTGAAAAATTTGACTTGCACAGGCAAACTGCATGCAATCTGCCTGTGCATGAGCATTCTGCCTGTGCAACTCCAAAAGTGGAAAAACTCAAGAATGAAGAGGTAAAGCCTTATGAACCTCCCGCACCATTCCCTCAAAGGTTAATGAAGCCCATGGAAGACCCAAACTTTAAGAAATTTGTGAATCTCTTCAAGCAACTTCATATCAACATACCGTTGGCGGAGGCACTTGAATAGATACCTACATATACTAAATTCTTGAGGGAGTTGCTGACGAAGAAGCGCAAATGGGCTGGTCTGGAGAAGGTA